CTGTAATCAATGGGAAAAATAGGGTTAGGTTCTAGAGTGACTAAACTTTCTATAAAATGTCACAGACTAAAATTAGCAGAATATAAATTATATTGCTGAAATCCTTGCAAGACAGCAAATATTTTGAATATAGACATCATATATATATGCACAAGAGATAAAATTTTAGCCCTTTGTAATAAAATTACTAATTAGAACTAAAATTTTTGTCTATTGCGAACTATAGCATGTTTATAATCAAACTAATCACTATCTTATACGAATTCCAGCAATGATAATTATATTCTCCCAGGTCAGTTCAGTGACATTTTATAAGAAAAAAATTTAAAGTCACTCTTAAGGACAGATAAATAAATAAGCACTTGACCTTGGCACCAACTGTCAAACATATCACCTCACCTCCCTCCCTCCCCCCAATCTTCCCAGCCAGGGTTTGGTGGTGTTAGGCTTAAAGTTTCTATATTATATAATATCACAGACTAAAGTTAGCAGAATATAATGCATTGCTGGAATCCTTGCAAGACAGCAAATAATTTGAATATGAACGTCATATATTTTGCACAAGAGATAAAAATTAATCACCTGTACGGGGGGTGCTGGTGGTAGAGTGGTACCGGTCTTGCCTTCGCAAGCGAGATGTCACAGGTTCGATTCTCGGGCCGGTGGAAGTTGTTTGGGCTTACTTCCTAGCCCCCATTAGTCCCTGTTCACCTAGCAGTAAAGTAGGTACCTGGTGTAAATCGAAAGTTGCGAATTCGTATTCAGGGACAAGTTGTTGGAGCTTCCAATAACTTGATGACATAAACCATTGACTCTTCAGGATTCCATGCCCTTGACTCGTCAGGCTTCTACGCCCTTAACTCATGAGACATAAAAAGGCAAGCATGAACTTAGCATGCTTCCCTGTTGGGCACTGTAAACACTTCTGCGCTTCACCTTACACAAGGATGTATGGGGGTGCCCAATAAAAAAAAAAAACAAAAAAAAAAAACACCTGTATCACATTACAATAGTGATTTATGAGTTCTAGTGTATATGTACATATATACTGTATATATAGTGATTTAAGGGCTATTTAGGAGTGTTTCTTATTTTACATGAGGTCCCAGGAACGTAACCCTCGCGTAAGTAGCGCGTCTACTGTATACTGGAAAATTTCGATAATTTTGGTAGTACTAGTGATAAATTTGAAATATTTCCTGCACGATTTCCCTCACGAAAAAAAAAAAATAATAATTATCGCTATATACATACAGTCAGTTCTGCTATAACGCGATAACTGTGTTCTTGTAAAACATCGTGTTATAGAAATTTGCGTAATAGAAATAACAGGGCTTATGGAGAAAATAGGGTTAGGTGTAGATTACAACTCGAAATCGAAAAAAAATTTAGTAGTTATCCTAACACAAAGGATAGCACAGTCTAAATAAACGTTACATTCATATCTAATAATGAAATCATACAGTAAATGTAACACTTTACCTTGAAAAAATATGAATATAACTCGATGAGGGAGAAGGGTGATTTTGAGGTTGATAACATCAAGCTTCTCTTCAAGGGTTATAGCCTTTCTTTTACGTTCATCACCGGGAATGCGATCACCAGAACGCTTCTTGGAGATATTCTTCTTTACCATATTCACAGTTAATACCACAAAATTGGAGAAATACTAAGCAAAAATAACGTCACAGCAAACAAGCGTTCGTGTTATACAAATATCGTTCCTCTATTCATAAATCGCGTTAGAGCCAATTCGTGTTGTCAAAACACGCGTTATAGCAGAACTCACTGTACAGTGAGTTCTGCTATAACGCGTGTTTTGACAACGCGAATTTGCTCGAACGCGATTTATGAATTGAGGAACAATATTTGTAAAGCGCGAACTCGTTTGCTCTAACGCGATTCCACTCGAACGGTTGTTGTGGCTTCAGTTCACGTTCGACATCACATGTTCAATTGAGTTATGTGTTTTGTTTGTGAACAATTGCAGAAATAATGTATGTAATATTTATGTATACAGTATACCTATATATTATAAGTAAATTGTAAAATTTTACATAAAAGAGAAAATCAAATTACATAGCGTTTTACACCCGCGCTCTCTCTACATCACACACAGTGTTTACAGTTCACGTTCGACATCACATATTCAATTGATTTATGTGTTTTGTTTGTGAAGAATTGCAGAAATAATTTATGTAATATTTATGTATACAGTAAACCACTCACAAGGTCCTACAGTACCACTAATTATTTTATACTGAAACTTACGTTTGGTAAGCTGGATTAAAATGAAAATTACCGGTATATTAAAATAATAAAAATGTATTATAAACCAGTCTAACATACCGTAATAAACACAGCTGCTATTATCATCCCCCCCACCCCCATTTGCCAGTGACAAGAAAGGGAAAGTGACCTTGACTGTGACCGCCTGTGGCTATTTTTAGCCATCCTTGTGTTCGGAGGTGGTCAGTAATGCATATCTGTATATTTACTGATCATAATACTTATCTCTTATAAATAATTCATTTAAAATTTATTTTTTTGCAAAGAATATTCAGTAAATGACTGCATTAATTCTTGAAACTGCCGACAGTGGTAAATTTAGGATATAAATAATGAACAGAAGTCACGTCATGGATTCGGAGTTTGGTCCTTAACGATCACCATAAATGTAGCCTCCCTTTTTCGCGAAACACGTATATAAATTAAAGAAAATACTTGCAGTATATTTAATATATTACAGTATATTATATATAAATAAATAAACAAATAAATTCAAATTCCCTTATCATCCTGTGTCATATACAGAAATACTTGAGTCCCTGAGCGAGTACACAAAAAGAAAACGGACATAAAGTGGATAGAGAACGGACATCTCTACTGGGGGAAAATACTATGCTTATATATATATATATATATATATATATATATATATATATATATATTTAATATATTACAGTATATTATATATAAATAAATAAACCAAATTCCCTTATCATCCTGTGTCATATACAGAAATACTTACCGAGCGAGTAAAAATTAAAATATAACACTAAATACGTATATATATATATGTAAATTGTAAAAATTTAAATAAAAGAGAAAAACTAAATACGTAGCGTTTAAAGTGTACTGTACAGTGTTGTGGCTTGGCTCAATGTTTACAGTTCACGTTCGACATCACTTGTTCAATTGATTTATGTGTTTTGTTTGTGAAGAAATACCTGTACAGTATATGTAAATTGTAAAATTTTAAATAAGAGAGAAAAACAAAATAAGTAGCGTTTAAAGTGTACTGTACATTGTGGCTTGGTGCGGGGTTATGCAGTGTTTACAGTTCACGTTCGACATCACATGTTCAATTGATTTATGTGTTTTGTTTGTGAAGAATTGCAGAAATAATTTATGTAATATTTATGTATACAGTATACCTGTACAGTATATGTAAAATGTAAACTTTTAAATAAGAGAAAAACAAAATACATAGCGTTTTAGACCCGAGCGCTCTGTTTACTCCACACTTTGTTTGAAACACGTGTGAAGTTTTTAAGTGTCCTCAGTGAATTCTGATTACTGTTTCTCCAATTTTGTGACCATGGAAAAGAAGAATATCTCTGGGAAGCACTCTGGTGATCGCATTTCCGGTGGTGATCGTAAAAGAAAGGCTATAACACTTGAAGAAAAGCTTGATGTTTCATGACTCCTCAGCCTCAACATCACCCTTATCCCCCATCAAGTTATATTCATATTTTTTCAAGGTAAAGTGTAACATTTACTGTATGATTTCATTATTAGATATGAATGTAACATTTATTTAGACTGTGCTATCCTTTGTGTTAGGCTAACTACGAAATTTTTTTTCGATTTGGAGTAATCTGCACCTATCCCTATTTTCTCCATAAGCCCTGTTATTTCTATTACACGAATTTCTATAACACGATGTTTTACAAGAACACTACTATCGCGTTATAGCAGAACTACCTGTATAGGAAAATGTCGATAATTTTGGTAGCCGCGATATAAATTTTTTTTCATATAAAGTCGCTATATATCCCGACCTTACTGTATCACATATTTGCACTTTTGTTTGAGGTCGGTCAAGGAATACAAAACCTTAAGATAAAACAAGAATGCCAGGGTAGAATGGAAGAAGACAAGTGCACCAAGAGACTAGAATGGGCTGAGACAAAAAGTAATGCTATAGAAACTTTCACACAATACCTTTAAAGCAGCTGTTGCCTCTGACACACGTAAAATAACATCTACAGTTATGGTTGGGCCCTCTAGTGAGTTCTGCTCTTCCTGTTTCTTAAAGCTGAGCACAACACCCCAGCCAAAGTCATCCTCATTATTCTTAACCTGTTGAAGATTAAAGATACACAACAGTTAAGAGAAAATTAACGATATCAAAATGAAAGTACGGTAATTCTTAAGATTGTAATAAATTTGATCTTACTGCCCAACCTGTGCTGAAATTGTATGTTTGATGAAGGTTGAAGAGTTGATAGCAATTTTCACAGATACCTTCAAAAGGCAGAGTCTTTAAAATAAAATAGATCAGTACCATACAGGGTATATCAACTCACATAAACAAGTCTCCCTGGTTGGAGGAAAGGCGTGATGTATATTGGTCGTGTGATAAAAACATGCCGCTCATTCTTGAGGTTGTGAATGGTTTGTTTGATTTTGTAGTAACTCTCCACCTCAAACTCTCGGGGGACAACGATCTTCTCCAACTCTTTTTCGCTGGTGCTCACACCTGAAGAATTAATTTTAATAATAATAATAAGTAACACTGTCTTGGAAATACATCCATATACAGTACAGTATAAAAACAGAAAAAAAAAAATGGGACAAATTCTAATGACAAGTACAAAGCCACCATTTCTCATGCTTCCAACAGCAATCTCTTGAGAAACCCTAGAAGCCATGAATAAGAAAATCCACAAATACTGTAACATTATCAAAACATAATCAACCTTTGTTTATGTAAAAAACGTACATGTATTTGTACCGTACATTGATACAATAAAATTAAAATGAATGAAACATGTTTCTTTTTACTTAAATCCTTTTAAATATAATATACAGCATCTGAATATTAAAGCAGTAAATAGTGAAAAGTACAAAAGTAATGTAGAATGGACGAGTTGACGGTTCTGGGTAAACACAAGAAATACACTCTGCCACGTTCATAGAGTGATACGGTATACAGCTCCTCCCCGACTTACGACGAGGATAGGGACCCAAATCCAGGTCGTAAGTCGAAAATGCTTAAATAATACATAGAAAATCTAAAATGGGTGTCTCTTTTTCTTCTCAGCACCACAAAACTCTCACTTTTAAGCTTGCCAGCCATTTTAAAGTGAATTACAAACGAAAATTTTGTCTGTGTACTGACGTTAGGACTTGAAAATACATAATTTGACAAAATTTTGGTACAACTGAGGCAGTCATAAGTGCGGGTGGTTGTAAGTTGATTAGGTAGTAAGTCGGGGAGGAGCTGTACATACCGTATATACTCGTCTATAATTCTACCTTGTTTATAGGTCGACCCTGATTTTTTGACCAAGAAATCATTAATTTATGATATGCCTCGTTTATAGGTCGACCCAAGTTTTTGAGGGTAATGGAACAGCAAAACTTTCACTAAAAGCACTCTACGTCCTATAAACTGAGGGTCCCCGTGCCTGAAACACCGAGCGCCGAAGGCAAATTGTTTACCATTATTACGACACTTTCCACTTTAACGCGGGTAGTTTCAGCAAAAATAGTGTATATTTCCATTCAAGTATTTATTCAAGTCAATTAGGAGGGAACATTATTGTAATACAACAGTTTTTTTAACTGAAAACCATTCAAAAAGCGATTACTTTAACATCTTTTGAACAACGAAAGAAAGCGAAAGTCGATTGTTTTCGTCATGGTTTTATCCCACTTTTCACTGTAACACGTACGTCATTTCAGCAAAAATATTACATTTCCGTGAATGTATTATATCGAGCACAGTATGAATAGAATATCATTGTAATACAACAGTATTTTAACAGAAAACTATTAAAAAAATGAGTAACATCTCTTGAACATCGGAAGGTTAGGTAAAGTCTTTTGTTTTCGTCATGTATTTTATCCTACAGGTGTATTTTACATTGAAATACATCATGTTTCAGCAAAACTACTATTTATTTCCGAGAATATATCCATTCAGGCACAGTTAAGGTAAAATATACGTGTGATGTAACAGTTTTTAACTGAAAACGATTTGAAAAACACGTGTTCCGTGTAGCTGATACTCAACAGCTGGTGGTGCGTCGTGCATCGTTGTAAACAATACGAGGTTGAGGTGGATTACTGGGTATTATATTAAGTGTGAAATATCGAAAAGGTTTTTATTACCGGTATATTTTGTAGATCAATGAGTACTGTGATACCGTATATGATAAGTCAGCCTGTGCTAATAACTTAACAACATAGACTACTGAAAGCACGTTGTAAGGTAATTTAGCCTATTGTAAGTTAGTGAGCTTCATCTGCTGAAGGCAATGCACAGCTTTTCATTACTAATTGGTACATATTTTACGTTTCCATTGTTTACTGGCAGTAAATGGTAAATATTTTTCATGTCTAAAGATAAAAGTTGCTCCTCGCCCTTCCCATCATGCACGGACTCAACCTAACAAAACTATTACCCATGTAGAGGTCGACCCCTAATTTTTTGCCTAAAAATTTGGTCTTAAAAACTCGAACTACACACGAGTATATACGGTAACTTGTAATAAAAGTTTAAAGTCCTGCTATAATAGTCGAGATAAGTTTATTTCTCTAGAAACATGGACACCATTTGCAATGATGTCACAAGTTTCAAACACCGCTGGTCTGCAGTCTTAGGGAGTAGAAAGGATGGCCTCTTCCTACCCCAAATGCCATGTTCAGTTAAGTTTTAAGGGTGTTTTCTTTTATGGTCAAGTCATGGACATTTCGTAAGTGAAGAAATGTGCCGTGAAGAGCAGCTTCAAACATAGGTTGGATGGATATATGAGCGATGGGGGTTGGGTGTAAATGGGACTGCTCAGTATGGGCCAATAGGCCCGCTGCAGTTTTCTCCATTCTTATGTTCTTTTGGACATAAAAAACTCCCATGTTCACACCAGCTCAGCTTTCATGTACTGTACCCTACCTGGTAGACTCTCTTCTTTTATTTTTCAGTGCATTTACAGAGTATATCAGAAAAATTTAGAAGTACAGTAATGACATTGTCTGGACTTTGTTTTGAGAATGCCTGATGCTAGCTAAACATGACAACACTGCTGTTATTGTTTTGATGATTCACTAATGAACCACTGGGATATATCATTATACTAATTAATGGGTAAAATTTTACTTTAATTACCATGAGTATTTGGATGTTTAGATTCGAGATAGGCTATATTGGGTAGATTTTAAGTTTTGGTCATCCCTGTACTTAGATATGCAGACTATGTTTATTTTCTGATGGGTTATGAACGATTTAGACCTTCATTTCTATCGGAAATCACTAGTTTTGAGTTACTACCCCACCGATGTATGTTAAGCTAACCTTATAACTCATCATATGATCTGTATTTTCTTAAGTGATCGAAAAATGTTATGCAACAGAAATCCTGTAGAGATAATGTGTCTTTTTGTTTACAGTACTTAATCCCACAGTTAGAATCTTAAGGTTCCCCAGATGACCAAAACCAAAATAATACCAATATTGCTTGGAATGTTTATACTATGAAATTTGTTGTATGGGCAGCTAATATCCATTGAATTAGTTTATGCACTTAGTAATATTTATATATTCAAAATATTATTACTGTGTTGCACAATAAAGCACAATTAATTATCTAATAATATTTACATACAGAGCCGATCAGCCGAGAAGGTTGGACAACTACAGCTCGCTGCCTCCCGGTGGGCGGCTCGCCCCAGCCAGTGACATCACAACCAATCACAGAGCTTTTCACAGTCACATGACTTTTTAGCAACTTTAACCCTAATTTTTGAGACTTTTTGGCCCAATTTATTTAAAAATATCATTACCATAGTGAATTTAAGCATTTTCTTTACCCATTGACCTGCCGTCTTACAAAAAAATTCCAACCGTCAACTCACCCATTATGAAGAGGAAAACATAGCCTAACTGAAAAGCATTTCAATCATGTCACTTATATTGACCTTTACTTAAGACACTGCATAATACAGCAGTACTACAAAGTAAACATACAGGTATACTGTATATGATTTACGTATAATAATGTAAATACATGATAAATAAATACTGTTATTAAAGAAACAGAAATAATGAATATTTATGAGAAAAAAAAATATTCCTGGTATTTATGTAAAACAGTATACACAGTCTGTTACAACTTCCTTTAAAAGAATGAACACATTCAGCACAGCTTTTGTAAAACAATTCAAACACTCACGTTCACAAAGTGATGGGATGGATGAATAATTCTGAAACTGGAAGAAGGACCTCTCTAAGATGTACTCAGGGTTGATCTGCTCCACCCTCAGTAAGTTTAGTACCATGTTGTACGTCAGGTGAAATGCAGAGTTGATGGGATCAGCTTTACCCTGATGGAAAGATTATACAGTACAGTGGTCCCTCGGTTAACGAGTTACCTTCCATAAGATTCTTAACTTCGGTTAACGAGCAATCCCTCAATTAACGAGTTTCTTATGAGCCGACCTCCACATGTTTTAGCTTGCATTTGGCGGTCCACCAGCTGTAGTATTAGTCCGCCAATACAGCAATCGGTACTAGGGCTTAAATTCCTTACCCTTTTAGTAAATATCAAGAAGTTTATACTATTCAATAATTTTAAAAGTTTAATATTAAATTTTTTAGTCATTTTAACAATTATTTAACATGATTGAAGTATAGGAATCTAGTTTTTTGCAAGCCAAACAGCCTGTCAACACACCATACAGGAGTCAGTTTCTGTGTCTTTTCAGTGGAGGTAACATCTTGCTTGAGACTCTCTTCAACTAAACGCTTTTTTTCTGTGTTTACAAGCAAATTATTGGTCATTTTGAAATTTATTTTACATATTGACAATATATAATGCAGTGCAGTGTTGATTTAAAGAAAATAATCTTGAATTACACCAAGAGAACTAAAATTTTATGGGTGAAATGGCGCCATGGGGTGACTTCTTTTCCACCCCAATGCCTTCTCTTCTCCCTTCTCCTCCACCCCCATTCTAATTCCCATCATCATCATCAAGGAGCCTTCTACATACACACCTCAAAGTAAGTGTACTTTACTACCTTTGTTGTTGAATTTAGGCTATTTTCGGTGAGCTGGAACCAATTACCCAAAAACCCATTGAAACAATGGTTTCGGTTAATGAGTTTTTCGGTTAACGAGCAACCTTCTAGAACGGATTGTGCTCGTTAACCGAGGGACCACTGTACTGTATACTGATATGTACAGTTAATAACACAACACTTAAACACTTGATAATATTAGTAACTTAATGCCAAGAGAGTACAATGTAAGGCCAGTGATTTGTCAGATTCAGAATATATTGAGTTTCAAAGCCACTACTGAATCCCTAAATCTGTTATGGAAATAACCAAGTCATATTGTACGACATATATTTTATTACAGTACTTGATGGTACTGTACTGTACAGGCATCCCCTACATTATGGAAGAGACGTTTTTAGAAAAAAATTCAGCAATATAAAACAAATTTTTCCGCTGAAACCCATCATATAACTGGAGAGGTATTCCTACAGTAAAATTTTCAGTCAAGACATAAAAAAGTTGCAGCACAAATAAAAACAAACCTCTATGAACATTAATAAATAAAAATTTGAGTATTTTATTATACAATATGATATTAATACACAAAAGACTTAAATATTCACCAGAAATGGATGGCAGCAAATATTCAAGAAAAAATGGAGAGAAACCCAGTTAAACACATATGATGCTTTACATATTGCCAACACAAGCACTACGTCACATCAACCTGAAACCCCACAAACTGGTACAAGTATCTATATATGTAAAATATACAGTAATACCAAGGCTGACTTGGGCTTGGAAGTTCAGTAGTGGCTTTTAAAGAGTAAGACTACTTTTCCTTAATTCAGACAATCCCAAACAAGCTACAGAGAAACTGCACACATTTCTGAAAATCAATTTCCCTACAAACATGCATCATACAAAAATTATGATTAAACTAAACATATACTGTACTGTACACACCTGCACCAAGTTCTTCACGACTGATGTGTTAAGCTTCTCATCCACCATCATTATAACAATACCCTTGTCGTCCTTCCCTCGACGGCCTGCACGACCGGACATCTGGATGTATTCACCAGAAGTCAACTGCAAAATTTAAGAAATTCTTAAATATATTATCTTAAACAGCATTATTTTATACAATAATCAATATAAAATTGGCCTTTTTTTCATAACTTACATTCTACAATGGTGTTCCCCTTCCCTAATAAGGCACCAGCATTTCTACCTAATTTACCTCAGTCCTGTCATACACTCATACATCAACAGCCTAGGACAGTGATTGATATAATGTCCATTATAAAACACACAGTACATAAAGTAAGGTCACTGAAAATAATCTCTGGCACTTACCCAACGGAAGTCATGTCCATCAAATTTGCGGACACTCGTGAAAAGGACTGTTCTGGCAGGCATGTTGAGACCCATAGCAAAAGTCTCTGTGGCAAAGAGAGCCTTCACCAAACCCTCACCAAAGAGAATCTCTATTGTCTCCTTGATTATAGGCAGCAAACCTGTCAAATTCAATGAATCAAGGTTTTACAAATCACATAAGAGCAATTTAAACTTGACCTGTCAACAGCAATTAATCAAAACTTTACCTGTCAAATAATTTATGAGAACTACACCTGTCCAATTCATCAATCAAAGCTTTACTATTCCAATTGAATTAAAGAAAATTTATCTGCTAAACTCAATTAAGCAAAACATTACCTGTCTATTTACAGTTAAATATTATCTGTCAAATTCAATTAGATTCAAATTCTCTAATTTGAGTGTATGATGATAACTTTAAAAAGAGTCCCCTGATAGAAACACAAACTTTGGGTAATATTGTTAAGTGCCAGCAGCTCATACACTCTTCTATGCTAGTAATGACTCAAAAAGGGATTCAATTGACGAATAATCAACTACTTGCCTGATTAGGATATAATTCAGTAGCCAAAGTGAATAATAACCAATAACTGTTCATACAGGAAATTAAGTGGTGACCCACAAACACAAAATTAAACAAGAGAAGTTCAGTGCAAATTCTATTTATATCAACTTAAATTAAAAGCTTTAGCTCAAAACTAAACAACATACCGGTATCTACTAGACAAGAATTACAGTGTACTGTATTTAGTTCATATGAATTCAACATGCATTACTCACCTCCGTGATGGATGCCAATTCCTCGTCGTAATAAGGGAAGAACTGACACCACTTGGGGTAACTGCCTGTCTTCTTCTGAAAGGACTGCGATTGCATTGTTGAACACTTCATCCACCAATTGCTTTTCCTCTGCTAAATTGAAGTCTAACTTGGACATCATCAGAGCATATGCTTCGCACTCCTTTTTCGAAAAGCTAAATATGATGACTGGTGCAAAATTACGCTCCATGATCATCTTCACAAGCTTAAAGCAGTCTGAAGTATCCTTGACTCCTCCTTTCCTGCCTCTTGAACTTGCCTGAAAGTTGAGTAAAAGTCATTTATGAATATTAAAAAAATAGTATGAGTACTGTATTACTAGAGCATGACTAATGCAGACAGCTTACAAAACATTATGGAACTATTTAATTTACTATTAAGTAAAATACCCATGAGACAAGGTAATTTTTGCTACCACTAATTAAAACTTTCTTAGCAACGTTTCCTACAATTTATATGGTAACCCCCAAGTGAGAAAAGTTAGCTTAAACCTGGGCACTAATTTGGAAAATTGCCAGCTCAGCATTGACCATAGTAAATGCTATCTGATCACAGAACTGAACCATTCAACTGAATCACGAATAAACATGAACCCTTCCTTAATTTGCTTCAATTGTCATGGCAGACTGGTTCATTTACGGTGTTTTCCTTCCACAACAAAGTGTACTTCACAATACCCAGCACATATAAAAGCAACTACTGAACAGTTTTTACAATACAGTACCTTTAATTATTTCACCGGTCATCAATTAACATTAATTACTCAAATTTTTTAATAGCAAACCCAGATACTTAATAGTCTATATTTTTAAGAACATGTGTATAAATGTGATTTAAAACTTATGGGCACAGCATAACTGACTTTTTATATAACAAAAATATAGTACATTTGTGATACTGCTTTATTTAAGATAGTACCTGTTTTGGTGCACTCTGCAATATTGTCATTGCTGTATTAAAATTATCTTCTCTGAACTTGCCAGTTTCATCAACAGCAAGGTAGATCCCTTCACCTCCTGCTGGAAAGATGTAATGTTGCAAAGGAGTTGGTCGGTAATCTGTGTAGACCACATGACAAGGCTGATGGTGAAGGTAACACACCCACTGAGCAAACTGCAATAAATGGTATATCATTAGTAGTACAATCACCTCTACACTGCAAACAGCTTTCAACTGTTTCAAGTGAGAGTAAAAAATTAAGTCAGACAGGATTTTCCAACAAATTTTGTGAAAATTGGCATTTAAACTTCATCATTCTGAATATCATATTTACAAATTGTTCTGAAAATTATCTTACACACACAATCCTGCTCAGAGTTTGGGTTACAGTTAAACAAAACTTATCTAATCTTTACCTATTGTATACTGTATCATTCATGCTGTATCCCACAATCAAAGTAAAATAGTATTAAGCAAATACACTGACACCGCACAAACATGATTTTTTTTTTGAAGCTTAAATTCCTATAAATCAAACCAAATTATCTCCACTGACCTGACTTGCATTTGGGATGGTTGCAGAAAGAAAGACAAAGTGGACTGTAGGCGGCAGTAGGATGATAGTTTCCTCCCACACATAACCTCTTTCCTTGTCTCTCATGTAGTGAATCTCATCAAAAATAACCCAACCAACTTCTCTGGTCACTTCACAGCCTCGATACAACATTGAACGTAAAATTTCTGTAGTCATAATGAGACAAGAAGCGTTTGGGTTGATAGTCACATCACCAGTTAACAGACCTACATCAGTGAACTCGTCACTAAAATCTCTGTATTTCTGATTACTCAAGGCTTTGATGGGTGTTGTGTAAATGACTCTCTGCTTGTTTTGTAAACACATGGCTATTGAATATTCAGCAACAACTGTTTTACCAGCTGATGTGTGAGCAGAAACTAAAACCGATTGATTGTTATCAATACACAATATGGCTTCTTTCTGAAAAGGGTCCAATATAAATGGATAAGTTCTTGCTGGTTTATCTTTTGGAGGTTTCAGTGGAATGTACATTTCCCCAGGGGGCACAGCCACCTCATGTGTACATGCCTCTACAGTTTCTATCACATGTACTGCTATTCTTGGCAGATCTTCTATCAGCCTGAAAAACAAACAGCAGAGTAAAAAAATAAATACTGAAGAAACAACTGCAGTCCCTTAGTGAACCTTTATTTAAATAGCTACACATTATTACACACTCAGTTATATATAATACATGTTCGCACAATTTAGAGACAATTGTGTACACCTAAATGGTTAAGTATTCAGAAGTAATAGCATAGCCAAGGGTTAAGTTGAGTATTAATAATCCAGATCCAAAGAAATTTTTCTTAAATATAAACAATTTACCTGTCTAAGCACTTATTTTTCCAATGCATTATTGTTCCTAACCTTATAAACTCACAAATAATATTGGTAAATTATAGGAAAGATGGAAAAAATCCAAAGGCAAAAACTCAGACAAAACAATCTGTATATCCCTATCCTTGAAGCAGGGTAATAATTTTTGTAGTCAAATTCTCCTATGAACTATATTCAACCACAGTGATGGACTTAATAGTTTGGTAAACTCAGGAGTCAGCATATTGTATCCACCTCTCTGGCATTACACCAACCTCAGCTCTGACTGTGTTGCCTCTACTTGTGATCGACGCTTCTTTACTGTTCCCTTTATCTTCTTGGTGTCCTCCTTTGCAGCTCGCTTCCCCAGTAACTGGTTGAGTTGTACTGCTGCTCTATAAACAGTGTAAAAAAAAAAGGCACTTAATATCATAGCATTTCCAGGTGATAAATACATACTGTATAATCACTGTAGTATGTCCTATGTTTGCATAAGAAAAAACAATTTTGGTTATTAACTTCACATCATGGCCATTAATGAATCTTTACCCTTTTTTTAGTGCAAAATACCTCAAATTATGTTATTGTATTTGTAAATATAAACTCAGTCAGTAAATATGACCAAAAATAATTAAAATGTAGTGGATACAGGGATGGCAGCCATACTGACAGACTGTGCTGTTTATGTTTAGGTTAGGTTAGTTTAGGTTATAGGGTAGGTTATGTCAGGTTAGCTTAGATCTAGTTAGGTGTAAATTTGCAGTTTTGTAAACAGTAGAATCTTGATTAGAAAATGTGTTTTTCCAATAGTTCATACTTTTTAAGACACTTTTTTCTTCTATGTTTCCCTCACAAATTACCTAGCCTAACCCCCTAACCAGGGGGCTCTGCACCCATAGATCCCCGGCATATAGAAGTCATCTCTGAGGGAAACGTCATAGAAGGAAAGTGTCTTAGAATTGTTGAAATTACCTATTGTAAAGATACAAGGTTAATGTAGACAACTGACCTGCGGACGAGCTATTTGTTTTACTGTTTACCTTCTTACTTTATTTTCATCAGTGAGCTCTGATATGATAATCATTTCTTGTGCACCCTTGGTTCCAAAGCCTTGCCAGATTATCCGTTTTGCCAGACCAACTGAGGTCAGGTAATAATAATTCAACAATACACCTCTGACCCACTAATTATACACCTCTAGTGTCTCTAAAGCACCATGGACTGCTCGAAACTTAAATCAAACAAATGTTAAATGTAAATTAAATGTGAAATTTTGAGCAATATTACTGTACACACTTTGTACTCAATGTACGGTGGTCCCTCGGTTAACGAGCACAATCCGTTCCAGCAGGTTGCTCGTTAACCGAAAAACTAGTTAACCGAAACCATTGTTTCAATGGGTTTTTGGGTAATTGGTTGCAGCTCACCGAAAATTGCCTAAATTCAACAAAAAAGGTAGGAAAGTACACTTACTTTGAGGTGTGTATGTAGAAGGCTCCTGGATGATGATGATGATGATGGGATTTAGAATGGGGGTGGAGGAGAAGGGAGAAGAGAAGGCATTGGGGTGGAAGAGAAGTCACCCCATGGCACCATTTCACCCATAAAATTTTAGTTCTCTTGGTGTAATTCAAGATTATTTTCTTTAAATCAACACTGCACTGCATTATATATTGTCAATATGTAAAATAAATTTTAAAATGACCAATAATTTGCTTGGAAACACAGAAAAAAGCATTTAGTTGAAGAGAGTCTCCAGCAAGATGTTACCTCCACTGAAAACAGAGAGAGACTAACGCCTGTCTGGTGTGTTAACAGGCTGGATGGCACGCCAGAAACTAGTTTCTTTACCTTCAATTATGTTCAATAATTGTTAAAATGACTAAAAAAGTTAATATTAAACTTTTAAAATTATTGAATAGTATAAACTTCTTGATATTTACTAAAATAGTAAGGAATTTAAGCCCTAGAACCGATTACTGTATTGGCGGACTAATACTACAGCTGGTGGACCGCCAAATGCAAGCGAAAACATGTTAAGTCGGCTTGTAAAAAACTCGTTAATCGAGGGATTGCTCGTTAACCGAAGTTAAGAATCTTATGGAAGGTAAATCATTAACCGAAATCTCGTTAACTGAGGCGCTCGTTAACCGAGGGATCACTGTACTACACAAGGGCAAAAATTTTTATCTCTTGTGCAAACTATGTGATGTTTTACTCAAATTATTCACTATCTTACAAGGATTCCAGCAATGCAAATTATATTCTGCTAAGTTTAGTCTTTGACATTTTATAAGATAGAAACTTTAAGCATAAAACTACCTTCACCCTGGCTGGGAGGGAGGGAGGGAAGTTAAGTGCCCTCTTGTAATTTTGTATGGACTAAAGGAAGTGCCGGACCATCAGTTCCCGGAAAATCGGTGGTGTACCTGTAAGTGCCAAGACACACACTACTTTGTCCTCTTGGTGGTAATGGTAACGCGACGGTGACGTCTCATCCCAGGATGTAAACACCCAATCATATTGACGTATATCAAAATATTCCGCCGACCGGGCTTCATCAACGCTGATGCTCAATGTATGCTTAAGAGCCGTTCGGTACGGACGGCTGCTCTCACGTCCACAAAAAATTTAAATTACACCATATCATAGTAAGTTCTTTCTGTTTAATATACCAGGGGGTCCGCTCGGAAGTTAGGTGGGTTTGTTTTTGTTAGGTTGGTGAGGTCTTCTAATAATGCTTCTGCTGCTTGTTTCTCATACCGTATCAACTAAGGTTAGGTTACATTTAATTTAGAAATTACCACTTTTTAACACATTTGCACAGACTACGACAGTGTCCACTACATAACACAGTTAAATTGCGGCGCTTTTCTAATAATTTTATATGAAAAATCGGCCGCAGGTCAGTCATCAATAATTACTCAAACAAAATTATCAAGATTTGGTGGTTGTAAGAAACTGCTGTAAATATTCATCAATTGGCTGTCCTCAGGTTTTGATACAAAAATTTTGTTTTCGGTGTACTGTATTATACTCAAATCTGACCTTCATTTCTTGTGCAAATTAGCGGTAAAAAAATTTGTAACAGAAACTGCTAATTTTCACCAAAATGGCAGTCAGGTTTGAGTAAAACACCACACCAAAACTAACCTAACCTCACTTAACCTAACCCAACCATTTTTTGGAGCTTACCTGTTACTGTGGTGGAGGATACAGCTGGGCGATCTGGTATGCTTATGGTTACAGACAAAAGAATGTCTTTGCTTAAAAGTAAATAATTTCCAGACAGACACAGTGTTCATGTTGGTGGGACACTGTGATCTTATAATATTTGAATTGATTCACTGTTGTTCTGATAAACTCACTGAATAACAGCTAGATAAAGGAGAGAACACTTTTTGCACACCATCAAGAGCCTTCAAAATGATTGGCCAGCCAAGTCACACGACCCAATACTTAAAGGTTGTCAAGTCGTAAAGAGGAGAGAATGAGAAAAGTAACCGTCAACATGGCGGGTACAGAAATTGGTCAATATTCAAAGTGTCACCAGGGATCTGAATATTAAATCATATATGGTTAGTTAGAGAAAACAAATAAAAATAATTTCTTCTATAACGTTACCGTCGGAAATTTATAGTTTTCGAGATAATTTAAATTGTTATTTTATAATATTTATCCAATCAGTGGGAGTACCTTTTTTACATCACAGTCACGTGCGCAAATCAGCGTGAGTGTTTATGTGATGTAATACTCAAGCGCCAATGGGCGTAACTTTAGATTCCCGATCAGTTTCAAGATGGATACTGTGTGTTAATGATGTACATTAGCTGACTGGGGCGTTATTCACCATGTTTTGGAGAATAATGCAGCAGCCATTGATATTTTTAGGGCTTGTAGTGGATCTCTCCCCTACAACAGCGTAGCCGCATCCCATAGCAACGGAGTTCTGTTAAAGCGTAGTCGTCTAGAGTCGCGCAAGTTTCTCGGACCAGTCTAGACAGGGGGGGAGGGGGGGTCCGACACTGGCAACTTACTTCCGCTGGACGTGTATATAAGCCTCTATTCTCGCCGTGTGGGACATTCAACATGGAGGCCAGAGGCACGCAACATCTCTTCTAACGAAGCTCCTGCACAGCTACTCCCTTCAGCTTGCTACTCACCCAACAGGTCCTCTGTGCAAGCTTCTCACCACACAGCATCTCCAGCATCAGACTGTTTTGTATATAATATATTTTATATAAGAAAACCACCATCTAGAGTCTACTTTCTCCACCCATCCTGAGTGCGAGACAACTTCACGTAACCCTACAGGCTCACGGTGTTCCTGAGTCATCTGTTAAGTGTCCAAAATGTAAATCCGAGTGTCAGTATCGAGTTGAACGCTATACACGGTACTGCAATAAGAGACAGACACGAGCAAAGCGAAAGAGATCCCGGTCAATATTCAGAAAGTATCTCGAAAACTAAAAATTTCCGACAGAAACATAAAACGTAGAAATTATTATTTGGTATTATTGCATTTCCAAAAAAATTTCTATTTTCTTCCACTAACCTCCCGCCATTATCGTCTGCCTCTCACCCAACACAGCTTGTCTCTCGCGTCTCCTTCATAAATCATGACGCGCATGCGTACACGTCACGCGGCCAATCAAAAGCATTTTTGCTTTTGGAACCAATTAAAATGATTTTGGGTTTAATTCAGAGTATATTTGGCCCAATCAAAATCGAGTTTTATTTTGGGTCTCTCATATTTTGAAATTCAAGTTCAGTTCCGACCATGGAAGTCTGCGATGGATGTCACAAAGTATATGGAGCTGATTGCGAGTTTTTGGAAAAAAACGTAAAAACTATTGTAATTTTTCTATTGCATGGTGTTCTTCCAACCTCAGTAAAGTGTACTAAGAGCAAGACGGAATGTAAATATCGCAAAGACCAACATATGTGGCATTGGGTAAGGATCCCAGAATGCAACGACGAACAAGAACCAAGCCAATAAGGTAAGAAATAGGTGATTCCATCATATGGTGAGTCAGTTAAGTTAGGTTAGGTTTTTGTTTTTCTAGTGTTTTTTTTGTGTATTTTTTAGTCGCTTAGCCACTTTTGTTTCTCGGAAAACGTCAAACGAAAAAAATATCGCTAAAAAAACCCAGCTAATTTCTGCCGTAAATGAAGGTCATATTCGGTCTAAACAAATACACTAGAAAAATATATTTTTTATTTGCTAAAAGTGAACGGTGTGACAATGCAAATTTACCTATTATTTTTTCTCCATCTAACCATATATGATGCAATATTCAGGTCCCTGGTGACACTTTCTGAATATTGAACCAGAAATTTATGCCTAGAAATTTGATACTCCATTAACATTGATTTGCACACCATGCATGCACATTAGACTGCAGTACCAACAGACATCAACGTTTCACATACGGCTCCCGTACCCATATCCTGTGCCTAATTAAAACTACAGTACCTATGAAATAGCACCAGTAAAGTACCTGTACAGTAATGGCTAACTTTCCCTGTTTGTTCCAAATCTAGGAAATCTTACCTTTCATCTTCACCCTCATCAACTTCTTGAATGTCTGGCAAATCTTCAACCTTTTTCTCGTCATCTTCTAAAAAATCAAAAAGATCATCACCAAAGCACGCCATCCCGCCTCTCCTACACGGCGTGTTTACACAACTCAGGGGGTCAGGTCGCTTACAATACAAACTGAACAATACTGTATACAAAATGTTTTAGTCAGTACCGATGAAAATATTCCTAAGTTGTAGAAAATACACGAAGGAAAACTCCTCTATTTTTAATAAGCAATAATTGAAATTTATATACTTAACACGATCTGAGGTTTCCTTTTACAGTACATGCACAGTACTGTATAGGTAACATGGTTCCTAATGAAAACAAACTTTTAAAGATTTTTTAGGCTAATTTGGGTTAAATCGATTTACTATTTATCATTGTGTGAATAACTACACTGTATATAGGCAGATGTAATGTGAACTTGTATGACAATTTTATTAAATACAGCACATACAGCGTATTTATCTTTTTTTATGAGGAATAGCTGACCCGGGCACAAGTCACGGACCAACAACGGGGCTTAGGGAGCGAAAAAACTAAGAGTAAAAAGAAATTAAAAAGAAAAAAGAAAAATATTATATGAATCTACATTACGAAGATGCTGGAAATCAGCTTTTTACAGTACTTTTATCCTCTTCACCACTGATCGGCTCGTTAGCCACTTGGGCGATTAGTTGCGTCTGTCAGTCCTTTTTTGTGCTATTAACAAGTACAGTACGTAAACTCCTGAAATTACTTGAACATGTTCAATGTTGTCAAGTTAGGAATTAAAGTTCACAGTTGCTGTCAGGTTATTTCACGAGTTCTCAGTTCTTAATCTAAGGACATAGCTCAAAGTTATGTCCTAATTATTTTCAAATGATATGAATGCAAGCCAGAAGACATTACTCCAACTTATATGGACGCATGACACTAGTGCTTTGAGGCCATTATAATTATGCACTTCTAATAATTAAGTTACCCTCGCCTTCCATAGCATAATTAAGCATTTGGGGCTCCTGAGTTCTGGCAACTGTTCGGTAGCCCTTTGTACGCTGCCAATTAATTTAGTCTCTGGCATACTCGATAACAAGTATAATTACAGTACTTTATGTGAGATGGCACTACACTTATGAAAATTCTTATCAGACACACACCATCATGGTACAGTACGTCCAATAAGTATATTTGCAAGGCTTACCATCTTAGGTTTACTCTGGATGAAGGCTTCACAATGCCTGTATCCAGATCTCATTTTTATCCTCTTCACCACTGATCGGCTTGTTAGCTGCTTGGGCGACCGGTCACGTCTCTGTTACGCACTGTTGGGAAGTGCTGGGTATGCACCGGCTCCTGAATGTGCCTGAACCTGCTCCAGTGTTGGTCAAGTCTTGTCTTGAAACAGTTCACACTTTGTGCTGTCACAACCCTTTCTGGTAGATTGTTCCAAGAGCTTACAACTCTCACTCCAAAATAGTTTGCCCTCACAGTTTTCTGGACTTGCAGCTTCTTCAATCATGAGCTGTGACCCCTTGTGGGGCGAGCGTCCGCCAGCTCCAAGTAAGGACACTCGACTGAGCAGTGCCCCTCGAGATGCTTATACACCTCAATTAGGTCACCCCTTGCCCGTCTGCAGTATAAGCTTGGCAAGTTCAGGCGCTCCAATCTCTCAGGGTAGCTGAGGTGCCGAAGTGCAGGCACCAGTCTGGTGGGCCTCCTTTGAACATTTTCAACCAACTGACAGTCCCTAGCTTATCTCGGGGGACCAGACAGGGTGACTACTCCAGATGGGGAAGCACTTCACTCCTGTAGACCGTTATGAGGGGCGGACCGTCTAGATATCTGAACGACCTTCATATAAGACCCAATAATTTATTTGCCTGCTTTACCTTCTTCTCGCAATGACCCGAGAACTTCAACTCATTGTCAACATACACACACCTAGATGCTTCTCATTGTCTCAAATAGTGCAGTTTCTTCATCGCATTGGGACAAAATACGCCTCCTTACCATTGGTACGCCCCAGGTGCATCCTCTTACACTACCCTACAACATAGCAGGTGGGATGGTAGTACAGCACGTACTCAGGGCTCTCTAATCGAACAAAACATCTTCTGGCCAGTGCTTGTTAAGTCTTATCTATTTGATTGAAGTTTCTTTCAGTCATGATGCACAGCGAGTTTTCATCTTTGCTTGGTGTGTGGACATATCTTGAAAAGCATAAGATCCAGACCTCTAGTACTGCTGGTAATGTGGTCCAATCTCTTTATGATATACAGCATCCCATTCAGAGGGAGCAGGGAGTTCTATTTCTCAACAGTAAAAATCCTTAAGTTTTATTGAACTAGAAAAGCAATTACAAAAGTAACTGATGCTTTGAGCTTGGTATGGTCATGTCTAATAGACATTTTAATCTTATGTTTTACTCCACCATTGGAATAATGCTGCAGAGACCCCAAGTCCCTCAGACAGTCTTTGTAATAGTTTTTTCCAGCTAGGATATCAGTTTTGTTAAGCTAGGATTACATATATGAGTTTGCAGTACATTTGTGGTATATTTTTGCAGTATGCATTAAATTGCCCTGAAAAATGAACACCCATTTCCATATGCATGCAGCTGTCTGTCTAGCAGGAACAGGACAGAAAAGATGGCACCTAGTACATAGAAGATATGATGCTATTTATATGAACAGGATGATTTGCTATTAAATATCCTGGGTTTGCATAAGATCATGCGTAAATCAAAGGAAAAACGGACATGGAGGCATAAATGGTGGGTTCGTAGATTGCTGCTGAATTGGACCAAATATGGACCTTACAGTACTCTGGTAAAAGACCTAAGCTTGGATGAAGGGAATTCAAAGAATATTTTCGTCTCAGCAGACAACAGTTCACACATGTTCTTTCCCTGGTTGAGGATGATTTAGTGAAACATTACAAGAACAGAGAGGTCATTTGCCCAAGGCAGCAACTTGCAATATGCATAAGGTGAGTCATGCTTATAAATAGGAAATAATAGGAACCATAGATAAATATTAAGTTACACAAAAATTTGTATTCCAGTGAACCTTTCATTGAGACCATGAACCTTCATTTTAGAACAGTTGTCAAAAATGTGTAGATCTCGTAAAATGATATATGAAGGTTATTAAATGTATTATATTCAGTAATTACATTACAAAAATAGGTTGGGATGTATTTTGAGTAGAATCAACTTTTCAGTCTCCTCGACAGAAAACTATGTTTTCCTCGAGGTATTCTGCTGGGTGAGAGCAAACACAGGGACAGTGATGTCACAGTGTGGGATTCCCACATCCTTTTCCATGCAGGTGCGTTTTCAACCGTACAGGGAGCGATTTAGATGTACTATACTGATAACGCATAACACTAATGCTACCGCTAACGCAACTGTGCCAATGGAAATGACCGTGTACATTTCAATGTTATCTATTTTTAGCACTACCGAGTTAATGAAATCCTAGCTTTAGTCTTCTGTAAACATTCTCAATGGTGTGAAGAATCTTTCATCTCTTACAGGTCTAAGCACGCACACACTCAGAATTTTCCCGAGTTTAACAGCAATTTACCAATTAATTTAAATTGTCAAGGGCAACTTTCAGGGGACAATTATGTTTTATATACCCTATATCCTCCGTTTTTAAACACTGAAAAATGTCATCTAAACATTCCTTGCATAATGAGAATTATCAGTAAACAGTACCAATCTAGGATCACTGAACAGCCAAATAGGCTACATTCATCAAATTACAACTACAGTATTGCATTGTCATAAATAAGCACTGCTGCCTTATTGTGACAATCATTTGATTCCAGTCACCCTGTTTTGCAATAGGAAATGGCATACATGAATGAATCTTTAATAATTATAATAAAAAGCATCCAACATTGATAATGAATTCACAAAACAGTACATAGAATGACAAGTCTTTATTGAGTAACAAAAAACCAGGTCCCCAAAAATACATGGTTATCATTATTGGGTGTTTTTATCTGCCTTACAGATTTATTTATAGGTTCTATTGGCAGTTTATTAAGTAATCATTAAGTTGTTATTATACAGTACAGTACTGCAATTTCCTCTCACAACAAATACAAATTTTCATATTTCTTTACAACATACATTATGAAGAATTGGCAACGTACAGATATATTTTGTGTGAAATAATAAATGGAGATATTTTCAGATAAATATCATACTCAGAACACCATACCTGACAATATTGTACAGTATATAATTGCATAAAATTAAATTCTTACAATTTATCACACAATCATCAATTTGCTGCACATTAGAAAACTTGATCACTTATCGCCGTCGCCTGTCTCTCTTGCTCCTGCAAAACAAAATGTAAAATTATGTAAAAAATTGATGCCTTACAGTATTTCCCCTTCACCATTTGACACCACTGACACACACTCAACTGTTTGACAACACTGACACTAATACTCTACCTTCCATATCAGGATAGGTTAAAGAAACTTAAGTTGCATTCCCTAGAAAGACGAAGAGTGCGGGGAGATATGATAGAAGTATTTAAGTGGGTGAAAGGAATCAATAAAGGAGATATAGATAAAGTTCTTATATATCCGAGCAGGATAGGACTCAGAGCAACGGATTCAAGTTGGATAAGTTTAGGTTTAGGAGGGAGATAGGAAGAAACTGGTTCACAAATAGGGTGGTGGACGAGTGGAACAAGCTTAGCAACTTTGTAGTAGGTGCGGGAACTCTGGAAAGTTTCAAAAGGAGGCTAGATAGATTCATGGATGATAGAGAGTGGTAGTAACTCTCGACAGGAGCTGCCATGCACAGGCCAACCGGCCTATTGCAGACTCCTTATTTTCTGATGTTCATTTGACAACATTGACAGTAATACTCTACCACTTGACACCACTATTATTCCCATTTCATCATATGACACCTTCAAAAAAGCAAACTCCCCAACACAAATTTGAAGACAATTCTGCCGGTCATAACTTCAGTAGTACAGTACCAGGTATAACAATATACAGTACCACAAATCTGGAGAGACAACTGCTTCCATGCTACTGAATATAAGGGAATAAATTTCATGCTTGCATTATATCTCCATAAGTGTTGTTATTAGTGTTAGAGGAGACCCACAATATAAATATCCACAAGTTCATTTAATAGCACTGTACTGTTATCATTTTCCCATCCTTCAAGTTAGTTAGATATCAAGCCTCTGAGGTAATTTAATGGTTTCAACAGCGTATAATGTTGCAGGAGATGCCTTTCACCCGATCCTAGTCTGGCTATGGGCAGTTACTTAAAGATGCTAGAGTACCGTACCAATATAGTACCATATTTGAAGAGCCCAGGAGCAATTTAAAAACTGCTGAAATAACTTGAATGTTAAATGTAAGTTAAACTTTTGATACTTCAGCTACTACTACATAATCCCAGATCAATATTACATACTGTGCAGTACAGAGAATCTTCTTAAAATAGCATTCTTTAGAGTCATTTGATAAAGGCAATTATTTACACGAACACTTACTTTCTTGGTCCTTTAACAAAACACCATTCCACTGTGATTGTCTGGCCAAGAATTTGTGTACCATTGAGCCCATCCAGAGCTGCTTGAGCCTCCTTGAAGGTCTCAAACTCTACCAAAGCATAACCCTGTGGAAACACAACACAATCAAGCAACGAGGAAAGTTCTATACAGTAAAACCTCTATTTAATGGACTATATGGAGAGGAAAGTTCATTATATCAAGGGCCCGTTATATGTGAAACCTACATTCAATGAACTACAGTATATAGACATGAAAGTCCATTATGTTAATGGTCTGTTTGATGTGAAACTCTCCTTCTAATGGCTATATGGTGAGAAGTCTGTTATACGGAGGTTTCACTGTATGATCATTCAAATATATCTAGATTTAACTGAATTACTGAATAAAGGCATCAAGGTCTTCATAGTGTATTAGCAAAAAGTATTAATTCATAGAAAAGGAGAACTCATACCATACAGAAAATACTGTAACTTACTTTAAGGAATCCTGTTCGACGGTCTAAATTGAGATGAATATTCTTTATCTCACCGTACTCTGAAAACCTATCATGAATATCGTCCTCTTGTGCTTCTTCATGGACACCGGTAACAAAGAGGATCCAACCCTCTACAGCTGTGTGGGGAGATGACATTCAGTGTAAAACAATATAATACACAATAATTTACACTATATCCAAAACAAAAGACAGTCTATGCTGACAAAGTGCCATAAATAAGCCTACTTCACCAGTTTTCTGAAGCAGATGACACAAACCTGCCCTAAGCTACTGATCCTAAGATAGTTTGTCTTAGGTTTGTTGTGTATCATCTGGAAAAGTTATGGTTCCAGATCTTGTATATGGTACTTTATTAATAGTATCCATTCTGCACTGAGAACACCTTTTTAAACTTAACGTGGAAACATCTGTTAAGACCATGAACTTCAGCCTTGAGTATTGTATACAGTACAGAATAACGCTACATGCTAAAACAAAATTATAAAGTAAATAAGCATTATCCCTCACCAAAAATTTAGTATCTAGGAACAAGAGGGAGGAACATTAGACTCCAGAAGTTTAGTTGTAAGTCACCTACATCTCTGAGGTCCTGGTTCATCATCTGCTTCATCTACCGTCATGCCCTCATACATGATATCTTGTCGATCTGACCGGTCTTCGTTGCCAAATCCACGACCCTTGCGCTTCTTCGCCCTTTCCTTGAGTTTGACCAATCCTTCTGAAATTAATTTTCAAAATTTCCACTTACATTGTAAATACATATTTTCTCTTTGCCTTATCTTCAACCCCAAACTAAATATGAATAGACACTGCAAACTAAACATTGTACAGTACACATATATACATCTGTTAAAGAAAAATTAAGTCCTTCCCTTTAAGAAATACACCATACTGTACCTTCAATAATCACAAATACACCAGAAACTATCATGCCTATCACTTAATCTCAATCTTTGTTTTATTCACATTTCTATTTCATTTTCTTTAACAAATATAAACCGAGGGTCTAATGTTTCAAAATTATAAAAAACCTGAAGAGCAAAATTCACTGTACTACATGCTTACATTTGCTTTACACTTACCTCTGTGTAAACCAACATTCTCAGCACTGCTTCTCATTGCTAGATTTACTGATGTCATGAAGTAACTAACCCTTTAGTAATCATCTTGGATTATTTCAGAATTTAGGCGAGGAAGTTATGTTGGGTCTCAACCATGCCTCGTTGACCTGAGCTACTTTCCTTAAATATTACCAAATATCCTACTTCTGGTAGTTCAGAAGCACAGAAAATCTGGAGCAATCACCAAAAACTCTTCCAAATTTGTCAGCTAACCCAGACCCCTATTCCAAAGTCATACCATTTAAACATACATAAGGAGAATACACCCAATTTTGCCACCAATATCATATCCTCTTCGTCACCACTAACAGTCGCTAGTATTAGTGACAAATTGTAAGTTCTTATATTACACGAATAAAAATTACACATGTATACAGACGACTCGAGAAGTATTGTGTTATTGTTATACATAAAAATTAATTGCTTAATAAAGAAAACGATTCACATTGGTAAAAGACTAAATACAACAAATGAAGGTGATTTGACACCAGCGCATAAACCATCGAGCAGCAAAGAACAATCTCGCTCTACCCTCTTCTTCACAGAGAAGCCTTAGTGGTTGAATTGCAATTACAACTAGTTGCTGAGCACAAGCAAAATCGTGTACAAGAAAAGCAAATTATGACAAACGAAGCCCATATCTGGAAGATGTGGGATGAATATGAAGAAAAAATATCACTTTTAATTTCTTAAAAAAATTGTCACCGTCTTCTGCCAAGCTTGCAGGAGTAAATTTTAGTCTTTCACATTGTTAAAGTGAGATGATTGCTGGCGTATTAAATATTTTATATATTTTTTTAGTTTTGTTTTAGTCTTTAATAAATTGTTTATGTGAGATGCTTGCATGAGTAATTACAGTATGTTTTTATTTTCTTATTTTCGTCTTTATTAAATTGTCTTAGTGTTTTTTATTATTTTCTATCCCAAGCAATAGTTATTTTCGTGTATATATTAATGGGAATGAGCGCAGTGACGAAACGGGTTGAAAACAGTGGTGACGAAATGGGCACTGGGCATACCCCCTAAGGATCCCCAGCCAGTGTTGCCAATTTGGCGGAAAATTTGCTAAATTTAAGATTGAACTTTCAATACGCTGACGGCTTAGACCTTTTGCGGAAAGCGGATTTCTCGTGCATTTTCACTGGATTTGGCGGAAGTTCTAGCGGATTTTGTATTCATGATGATTATTAGTAATTAAAACCTATTCTGTCCTCCCTCTGAAATTAAAAAAAAAACAAAAACGGAAATTTAAAGTAAACAGAATACGGAGTAATCAGCAAACCAACCTCTCACATTGACCCTAGGGAATATTTAGGATATGAATTTGAAAAGACTTGCACCAACTCAAAGTAATCAGAAAAGGTAGGGCGTGATCTTTGTCAACGCTGCATATCTTGTGTTACCAGTCTCTGTAACAAGTTAAAAAACAGACTTCCTGATAACTTGAGGAAAATATCTGTTTTCAGTAGTGGAATGTCTCAGAGTTGTGAAGGAACCAATAGTAGAGATAGGTGAAATTTTTGGGTACCATCCAAAATATTGACCGAATTGACAATCAGTGGAAATCTAGGATTAAGGTAAAAGATTACCAGGATGCTACAGGATTAAATCCGGTTAGGTTTGGTTTTTGTTTTTCTAGTATTTTTTGGTGTATTTTGCCATGATTTTTTTTCGGAAAACGTCCATCGAAAAAAATCGATAAAAAACCTGGCTAATTTCCGCCAGAAATGAAGGTCATATTCGGTCTAAACGCACACAAATACAATAGAAAAATATATCTTTGACTTTCTAACAGAGAACGGTGTGACAAAGCAAATTTACCTTAAATCCTTTTCGTGACCTCTGTGAATTTGATGTCTATTCGGTGGAACATATCCTAATCTTAGCATTTTAATCATCTTAATGTTATTAGCCTGCTGCATTGCCTATACTTTTCAATCATGTAGAATAAAAAGAGAAAACAGTTATTAGTAAAAAAATCATTTTGATTTAAATCATGATTTTTTTACTCTGATTTAAATCAATTTAAATCATTTGATTTAAATAATAACAACCCTGGTCCTACATGAATAAATCGGACTGCCAATCACTTCTCGACTAGTATTTGGTGTCACGAAGTCACAAAATATTGGAAAACTTAATTTAATCTGAGTTAATAGATCGAGTGCATGTACCGAGGGAGCGAGTAATTACCCAAATGAACCAAAATGTAACCGCAATGAAGTCAAATAATGGTCCTACATGAATAAATCGGACTGCCAATCACTTCTCGACTAGTATTTGGTGTCACGAAGTCACAAAATATTGGTAAACTTAATTTAATCTGAGTTAATAGATCGAGTGCATGTACCTAACCTAACCTAACCTCGACTAGTATTTGGTGTCACAGTCACAAAAAATTGGTAAACTTAATTTAATCTGAGTTAATAGATAGAGTGCATGTACCTAACCTAACGCAACTCAGATTAAATTAAGTTTACCAATTTTTTGTGACTTTATGACACCAAATAATAATCGAGAAGAGATTCACAGCCCTATTTACGCTTGTAGGACCATCATTTGACTTCACTGCGACTACATTTGGGTAATTACTCGCTCCCTCGGTACAAGCACGCGATCTATTAACTCAGTTTAAATTACGTTTTCCAATTTTTTGTGACTTTGTGACACCAAATACTAGTCGAGAAGTGATTGGCAGTCCGATTTTTTCATGTAGGAACATTATTTGACTTCATTGTGGCTACATTTGGGTACATTTGGGTAATTAGACAGACTGGATCAGTGGTGAAGAGGATAAAGGTAAAAGAAGAAGGCATAATTTTTTCGCTGAACTAAGTAGTGATTACTTAACTTTTGCATATTGTTTAGGAATCGTGCATAATATTGTGCTTAGCGGATTCTATCGGCCAATCTAGCCGATTTTCACCAACCACATTTGGCATCACTGTCCCCAGCAATGACCAGTCGTGTCTCACTTTCACTTCTAACGTTAACTTTTATACCAGGTGGCCTCACTGATTACTACTTATAGCTACTTTTAAAAGCTTCCCTTGGTTTATTTATGCTCTCATCATTTCATTTCAACATAAAAATCGCAGCTAACAATAAATAAGCTCAAACATTTGGCTTTCGTAGTCCACACCGTTACAGATGGTCTACATGTCACTCACCTATTCTCCACGAATACACCCTTAAAAGTTACATAATTTCCATCATATATGATTCGCATAGTCATTCTTGTGATACGCGTCTACGCCACACCAAAATGCAAGTGTACTTACGATCGCCATCCTCATCGGCTTCAAATTCTTCAGCATTTTCGATGTCCAACACGTCCGCCATGATGCTTGACGCCGAGGACCAAAACAAGCGACAGCTGTGGACCGGCTCAAGGGAGGAGGCTCAACTACCTTTAATTTGTGTGTATTTTCAGTGCCGCCGTTTGCTACGTCATCTAGTGCTGACCGACATAACTAAGGCAGTATTTATAGAAAACTAAAGATGCTATAGAGCGGGTAAGCTATACTAACATTGTGGTATTTATATATATATATATATATATATATATATATATATATATATATATATATATATATATATATATATATATATATATGCTGATAACCACAAGGAAAGAAGAAAACACGAAGTTCCCAAGCGCTTTCGTGTAATTCACATCTTCAGTTGTCAAATTTGTTTGTCTATTTTCTCTTTGATAGGCTCACATACATACGTGCATGTAAGAGATCTCACACTATATATATATATATATATATATATATATATATATATATTGTAAGTACAGTTCGGTGCTAGGGAGTTGCTGTGTGGTGAGAAGCTTGTTGAGAGGTCTTGTTGGTTCTGGAGAGTAGAGTAGAATGATGTCCGAATCAAATCGATGGGTGAAGTAAAGTATGAAGAGATCTTGATGCTGGTGCGTAGATTGGTGGTGCGGGAACTGGACTTGAAGAATGATGGTGGAATTTGGAAGGACTTGGGGTTGGTGGATAGTGCAAGAAGAAAGGCGAGGAAATTGGAAAGTAGTAGTAGGATGCTAGGTCTTGGGGCTCAACCCAAGTGCCTCTGTTTTCTCATGTTTGTATTTCAGCTAATTTTCGTCTTAGGTGTTATATTTATGTCAGGTGTTTGTGTCTTTAGCAAGTGTTGCAATTTTATGCCTTACAATTTCGGGTTTTGTGTCCTAGCCAATGGTGGGGAGTCTAGGGCAGGTACTTGTGTTTCTGCTAAGAACATCCCGTCTTTTTATGATCTAATGTTGTAAGTGGTAGGGCTGCCAAGGTTGTCACTGGGGTAACGTTGCATCTTTCAATAGAGTGGAGTTGGTGTGGGTTCTAGGGCTCTTCTTTTACTGCGAGGGAACCACGAGTGTTTTCTTCTTCCTTCTTCTATCTCTTCCATCCATTCTGTGATTGGTCCTGTTTCTATATCATCTAACTCTGTCCATATTCTTTTTGAGTTTTGGTGTAGGTAAACGGCCAGGCTGAGGTGTATTTATACGGTTCTCCAGGATCAGAAAACCAGGTGCGAAATGAGCGGCGCCTATCACCGCGCAGTTCCCAAGTGAGGCCTGGTCTGTGGAACTCGCTGCTGATTGGCTGGTATCGGACGGCAAGTGATAGGTCAGCAGTTGTACACGTCCGTCCGCGAGTGAGGCCTGGTCTGTGGAACTCGCTGCTGATTGGCTGGTATCGGACGGCAAGTGATAGGTCAGCAGTTGTACACGTCCGTCCGCGAGTGAGGCCTGGTCTGTGGAACTCGCTGCTGATTGGCTGGTATCGGACGGCAAGTGATAGGTCAGCAGTTGTACACGTCCGTCCGCGAGTGAGGCCTGGTCTGTGGAACTCGCTCCTGATTGGCTGGTATCGGACGGCAAGTGATAGGTCAGCAGTTGTACACGTCCGTCCGCGAGTGAGGCCTGGTCTGTGGAACTCGTTGCTGATTGGCTGGGAAGCGAACGGCAAGTGATCAGTCAGCAGGTGTCGTGGAAAGTATCCACTACAAACTTACCAAAACTGGATAAATAATATATATAATGAGGAAATCCAAGAACATGTTTGGTTCATATTAGACAGAAAGAAAGTAATTGAACCATCTCCTGCCCCAATATACACATAAAACATTAATAGAGAGAATAAAAGATGAGAGTGACATACCAGCTCCACTAAGAACCTGGCAGGCCTCTCCACAGAGTGTACCTTTAGACTAACATAACTAACATTTAACTAACACATTGGCAAAAAGAAATGTGACTACCTTCCCAGCCACACAAGGACCTGGGAGAACTCTTAACTCCACCACAGTAAAAAAAACGCGAAGTAAGAAGTATAATGTATAATTAGCAGCACCATATAAATAAACCAATACTAATAGAAGGGTCTGACGACCAGAGGGAGCAAAAAAAAAAGTAGATAAGATGAAGCGATCTGGTTGAGCCCAGATTCTATCTACTCCTACTGGAGGTTTCATATCTAACTGACTCAATATAATGGAAATGTTTCTCCATAAAGTCCGCTAAATAGAGGTTTCACTAAACATGGGTGACTTTGAGCCATCTTAAACGAATAGGATGCAAGATGCGGCTGGCTTTTGAACATTGAAAACCGAATGAAAAAATTATCCTATCTGCTTCTGTGTACATAAATTAATCTATTTACCTCTCTGCATATCTCTTCGTATATCCAATTATAATTTATTTATCGATGTATGTATCGGTTCTGTTTGTATCAATCTATCTCTTTATCTATCTACGTCTGTGTGTGTGTGAGCGGGGGGCGGGGGCTGTAACACTGACCTTCAACACTTACTAAATTACTTACAGTTTTACCGCAAGGACGCCAACACAACCTGAACACTGTACTACGTCTCACCCAAACAACAACAAATACAACAACACAACAACAAATACAACAAACAACAATATATGCAACAACAGCAACAACTCTAACTTATCGAATAAGTAACCGAGTATGTGAATACAGTATTTGTTGATTTTAGTCTGCCAAATGTATTCCTATACTGAGCTAACTGATGGGTACCTTAACGCACGAGGATTTTTTCTTTCTTCGTATGTATGTATGTATGTATGTATGTATGTATGTATGTATGTATGTATGTATGTACTGTATGTATGTACACGGTGACCAATATTGTATACGAAAGGAAGCGGACACACACACATACACCGAAATTGGCACAGCGACAACGCATTAAGGGCGGTGAAAAATAGCAAAAGCTGCAAACTTGAGAAATCACATCACATCGACAACTGAACATCGCCGGAGAAAGTTTGGCAAGGGACACTCCGTCATTCTCAAAGACGTGCCCAGCCAAAACTCCTGTCCTTCCATCCGTCCCCTCTCTCCACCCCCTCCTTCCCTTCTACCACAAACAACTCTTTAATAACTTTACAACACTACTCAAAGTTTTTTCTCTCATTTTTGTAACAATCGATATATTTCACTTTATTTAACTTTTTTAATTTACACAATATTCATATCTACTGTATATCTGTCTGTCTGTCTGTGTCCGGTAACAATAATAATGAACTATCATCTTTTTCGCATTAATTTAACATACTTTTGGTCTATATGTACTGTATGTCTGCCTACTCTCGATATATTCTTCTTTGAGTATGGTGGTTTAATCCTTTGAAGATGATGATTTAATCCTTTGAAGACGATGATTTAACCCTTTGATGAAGATGGTTTAATTCTATGATAAAGATGATTTAACCCTTTGAGGACGATGATTTAACCCTTTGATGAAGATGGTTTAATTCTATGATAAAGATGATTTAACCCTTTGAGGACGATGATTTAACCCTTTGATGAAGATGGTTTAATTCTATGAGAAAGATGATTTAACCCTTTGAGGACGATGATTTAACCCTTTGATGAAGATGGTTTAATTCTATGATAAAGATGATTTAACCCTTTGAGGACGATGATTTAACCCTTTGATGAAGATGGTTTAATTCTATGATAAAGATGATTTAACCTTTGAGGACGATGATTTAACCCTGATGAAGATGGTTTAATTCTATGATAAAGATGACGATGATTTAATTTGAGGACGATGATTTAACCTTTGATGAAGATGGTTTAATTTATGATAAAGATGATTTAACCTTTGAGGACGATGATTTAACCCTTTGATGAAGATGGTTTAATTCTATGATAAAGATGATTTAACCCTTTGAGGACGATGATTTAACCCTTTGATGAAGATGGTTTAATTCTATGATAAAGATGATTTAACCCTTTGAGGACGATGATTTAACCCTTTGATGAAGATGGTTTAATTCTATGATAAAGATGATTTAACCCTTTGAGGACGATGATTTAACCCTTTGATGAAGATGGTTTAATTCTATGATAAAGATGATTTAACCCTTTGAGGACGATGATTTAACCCTTTGATGAAGATGGTTTAATTCTATGATAAAGATGATTTAACCCTTTGAGGACGATGATTTAACCCTTTGATGAAGATGGTTTAATTCTATGATAAAGATGATTTAACCCTTTGAGGACGATGATTTAACCCTTTGATGAAGATGGTTTAATTCTATGATAAAGATGATTTAACCCTTTGAGGACGATGATTTAACCCTTTGATGAAGATGGTTTAATTCTATGATAAAGATGATTTAACCCTTTGAGGACGATGATTTAACACTGTCGCAGATTATTTAACCTTTTGTCTCCCATTGGCTCGAACGATGCACCCAGCGCCTAGCATAACATCAATACCCGAACCACTCATCCAACGTATACTATACCTTCTCCCCTTCCTCCTCCTCCTCCTCCTGTATACACTTGGGATGATGATGAAGAGGAGAAGGAGGAGTAAGAGGAAAGGGATTGGCATAGTGACAACATGGGGATCGTCAGCACCAACTAAATGATTCATTAAAACAAATTTATGTAATGTTTTCCTCCAGTGATAACTAATATATTATGTTTTGTTTTGTTTTATTCTTGAGAGAAAACAGACAAGTCTTGTTTGGAATTGAATGAAAATAAAAAATTATGAAGATCGTTTGTATACCTACATTGTCTATGTGCATTGTTTATATATCTCCACTGTCCATGTATATTATATAGGCAACACTTGTTTATATACACTACACTTTCTGTGTACATTGTTTAAATACCTGCACTCTAAGTATAAATGCTGAATAAAAGTACAATTTATATGAATATCAGAATAACTGTCTACGCGACGTAAGCTGTCAACTGTAAGATCATCAAGTCGGTCAGTGTGAAGGCTTCCAGACAGCTGACTCACACCATATTACCGTTGCTGCTGTTCGCTTGACACACGGCCGGAATACAAAGCTAAAAAATTATCTACAATATATCAAAAAATGACAGCAGGAAGCACGTCACATATTCCGTAA